TTTTTTTTTTTTCTTATTGCAAGTTAAGGATTTACTAGTATAATATTCATGCCGATTGTTGAATTAAGAAGCATATATAAACCATATTTTAATCTTTTAAAACTAAAGGAATTTGTGTTTTAATTAAGTTGTCAAACTATAAACACACGTATTTAATTTTAGAATTTGAATGTTAAACTATTTTTATTTTATTTTATACGTAAATTTAAAATTTGAATAATTATTTATTTATTTTTATTAAATTGACAAACATACCAATTAAGTTTATGAAGGATATTAATGTCATTTCAAATCTATTTTCACTTTTCAAGCTCGCACTAGGGTGAACTTTACTACCTTCCCGCCCTCACGTGGATGACGAACCGCCGGCCCCCATTCTCCGGCGCCTTCTCGATCGCCTCCCCGATTGTCCGGCACGTCCCGTTTCCGTCAGGCGACACAACAACGTCCGCCTTTATCTCCGCCGTCGGCATTTCCAGCAGCCTCCTGTCCCGCCGGGACAGCCACGCCGGAAATCCCCCGCTTGCCTCCGCCGCCGCCCCCATCAGCCTCCTCCCCAAACTGTTCGCCGGAGCTCCCGATAAATCGGCGGCGGCTGCAGCGGCGTACATCGCGAGGCAATTGCTCACGAGCTCCGACAAGTCCCTAAGCTCGGCCGCCATCCGATCCTTCACTTCGCCGGCGCCGACCTCGTCGAGCCCATCGGCACAGCCGTCGATGTTCGTCATCCCGGCGCTCAGCCACGTCATCACGTCGTGAGCCGAGCCATTGTAGTTGAGGGCTCCCGAGAGCTGATTCGATGAATCTTCGAGCAGCTCCAGGCAACCGTCTATGGCCGACCTTCCACCGGAGCCAATAAAAATATCATAAGTTGGATGTATATGAATTTGATAAATTATTTTATATTTCGAAAATAAATTAGAAAAATAAATAAAAAATGATCACCAATTAAAAATGAATAGTGTAATTATAAATTTTATACAAATTACTGTGAAGATTGAATAATTATGTAACTGTTTTACAGATACAAAGGATTATGACCAATTGACCATGCATGAAAGTATATTAAACTATTATTATAAAACCAAAATTATATATAATATAAAAATTCAGTCGCAGTAAATTAAAACCTGGTGTGATTATCCATATCCATGCGGCTGATATTGGAGGCGGCGTCCAACGCGCGGCCGACTCGTCGGAGCGTGTCGTTGACCGAAATGTGGATGATTTCTCTCAGGGAGGCGTTGGCCGCGCCGGGAATTTCGG